TCCAACAGAGGCATGCTGACCCGTAAACCATGAAAGAGTCTTTGTGTTACTGCAGGGGGGGGGGGGGGGGGGGGCAGTAATTACTGCTCTAACTCTGGAAGTGAGGATTTTAATTAGAACTCAGTGAAAGACTGAGGTTAATGAGTCTGATTAAATACACAGGGACCCTGGTTCTATAACCCTGATCAGTTTGCATGATCAGTCTGATACGATTGACAGTTTCACTGGAGAAAGTAAAATCTGTAAAAACAGCTTCATGAGGAGTGAAATCTTATCTGACTGAAGGAGGACACGTCCCCTCTCTGGTTCCCAGCTTTAACCTCCCAGGAGCCCACATCTCTGAGGACCTCACCTGGACCTCACCTGGACCACCGACACGTGGTCGTCACAAAGATTCATCAGACGCTCAAGAAAAAAACGTGTTCCTGCAGCTGCTGGTGACAGGAGAGCTCCTCAGAGTCTTCACAGAGCCACCAACAAAGGCATTCTCTTCTCTTCTATTCTGAGCTGTTGTCTGGGTGTCAGCAGCAAGACTCTTTTATCAGTAACTTCCTCCTTCTTACAGCCCACTCTAAGCTGATCACACGATTGTCACGTGACTGATCGGAGAAGGAACGATCCCTCTCACCCCACTCTTTTTAAAACAGTGTGTTTCCATTTATATTTACTGACAGTGTTAACCTAAAGAATCCTGTAAATGTCAGGTCCTTTGCTCAGATTGTACAGGAAGTGATGTTGAATGTTACAGGGACTGAGATAGATGCAGATCCATCTGTTCTGACAAACAAAATAGACGACACGAGCATAAAGACTGAGTCTCAACCTGAGCAGCTAACACCTGAGAAGAAATCAGTGTCTGCTGTTTGGGCTCATTCTGGCTTCAGTGAAGACGACACCAAACAATTAGAAGAAGTCAAATCACATCGCTTGGACACAATCACACTGATGAATATGAAGAGGATCGAAGAAAAGAGAGAGAGCGAGAAGCACCAAACTAGGGCTGCACCACATGCAAATAAAATGAATAAAAATAAATCATATTATGATCTCAGTGTGAATGATTGTTTTTGATTTAATTTCCACTGAAAAAATATATAAATGATGATGATGTGATTTTTGTTCTTGTACCAAACAATCATGTTCCTACATGTCTGGAGAATATGATCTGTATGATGGGGTGTCTCTGTAGCACCACAACACTGATGGTGCTAACAATGCTAAAGCTAACAATACACAACAATGTGACACATCTTAACTTCATCAAAAACATGCAGCTCGGTATATGCTAGGTATATTTAATTTTATATTCTAATTTAATTCTAATTTAATTGTTATTGTTTATTTATGATTAACTGTTAATATCATTATTACTAATGACCTAATGACATACGAAACTAAGGGGATAAATAAAGTATATATCTATCTATAGATATAGAGATATATATTGATTTGATGTCATATCCCCGAGACCTACATGTGTGTTCTTATTTCCGTAGAATTATATTTTAAAAATCACATTATATCACTGACAATATCACAATATGCTGAATCCTAACCCCTGTGTCATGAGACGCATCATATCGCCATGTTGTTGCCGACACACACTCAGACAGAGAGACACACAGAGTGTGTGTTGATAAACGGGACATTTTCCCTGCAGCAGGTTTATAGAGACACACAGATCACCGTGAAGACTTGACTGATCCAGAGACAGTCAGGTGTGTCCGCTGTCACAGGAAATAACCTGAAGGAAGCAGCGGGCTGTTCTCCGGTCAGATTACCACCACAGTAACGCAGCTCCAGCTAGCTAACGTATGCTAGCTAACATAACGTCGCTGACGTGTCGCTTCTTACCGCGGTTTGTGTGTCTGTTGTAGCGGGCTCCGGAGGAAGGTGAGGGGCTCAGGACTCTCTGCTGACCGCTGTGAGCTCACTCTCCGCCGCCGTGTCCATAAAAACCCTCGGTGTTCTGGTGAGTCTCTGTCGTTAGCCGAGCGGCTTCAGTCACATCCTGGTTCTCCTCATCCAGGAAGAACACCGAGGAGAGGCCGATGACGTCACAGACGGAAAACCTGGCTCAATCAGCGCATGCGCAGCAGCTCGGGTGTTCCCTACCTTCACCCTTTTCTTCTCCCGGTCCCGGTTCAGACGCTGCTGGCCGCGCTGCTGCCCCTGCAGGCTGACCCGTGAATCACTACAGGAGTACACATTTATAGTACTTGTACTTTACAGTTTATACTACTTTATACTTAATTTACACATAAATACATATATAAATAAATAATTAACTTTGTGGTTGAAGGTTAAATGTTGATGTCTTAAAGGTCCCATATTTATAATTTTTTATTTATTTACTGTTCAACTATTGTTTCCTCTAGGGGATGAATAATGTCTCTATCTATCTATCTACCTATCTATCTGTAATAATGTTAAGAAATTTCCTCATAACACGCTTGGCTTACATTATTCAATATATGATATCTAATCCTCCGTCTACACTGTATGGTTTCTAGTAAATGAAAATAATTAAATAAATAAAGGCTCATCTTATCTTATTTAATGTACCGTTGTATTTGGTCTGATGTGTCCTGTAGTTTTCATCCTCTCCATATGTCACATGTTGCAATGAATCTGACTGTGGAAGCTATTAATTGTCTGTTTTATGATTATCACATCAATAAATATTTGTATGAAGTAATCAGTGTGTATTTCTGTATCTGCCAGGGAACATGTGGTACGTAGTCCAGTGTCGCCCCCCCCCCCCGGTTAGTGCAGCTGTGATTGACCCCAGATTAATGTTTGACTCCTGCAGCTCAGCTTCGTCTATTTTCAGGTCACAGACCCACATATGGTTCATATGGTGGTGCAGTCAGGGACAGAGTCCTTATCAGAGACTTGACTTATCACAAACCTGATCTTTCTGCTCTTGAACTTCATCGTTCAGGAGCTTTATCCCTGAACAAATATTTACAGCAGCTTGTTTCCTAACTCGGTGACATGGAGGTGCTGCAGACTGAGACACACACTCCAACCTGCATGTCTCTGTTCATGTGATATAAGAATAATTTCAACAACTGCAGTCATGGCATCAAATATGACAGAAAATGATGGAAATATTCATTTCCTGCTCATGTGTTTATCATCAGTCTGTTTGACTGGTACATGATGTTTGAATCCACTCTGGAGGACGGACCGTCTCTACAGGGAGGAGGAGCAGGTCCGGCCTGTTAGCTCAGTCCTCCTGCTGGTCTGGACTCTGCTTCATCAGCTGACTGCCTGCTCCACTTGTTGACGAATCCCAAACCAGACTATCTGCGTGACAGCCAATCACAGGCCAGGAGGCTTTTCCCTCTTCAAACCTGAGCCACGAGTCCTCTGAGTGTTACTATCAGGATCTAAAAATCTAATGAACCGCTGTTGACAGAGCTGACCTCTGACCTCTGACTCTCCTGCCAGGAAATAAATAGATTCATACTATAAGCCTACAACAACTCCCAAGGTGCATTTCACTGACAAGCAGCCAATCACAGAGCTTCAGCTTACACTGACTACAATCTGCATCCTAAAAGAATCTGGTTGACTTCAGATGAATTTAGTAACTATGGCGACGTGAATCACACCTCCTCTCCATAGCAACAGCAGCTGAGGCTCATGGGTAGTGTAGCAGAGATGTGTGACACACAAACAGAAAAAACACCAGATTTGTCTGAAACAAAGTGAATGATGGCGCCCACATGTTTGTCTATGATGATAAATGATCAGTAAAGATTTTTAAAGTTTCTGCTCAAACTGATGTAGAAAAGAAAATAACTGAAGAAAAGTATGATGAATATAAAAACTCATGATTAAATTCACTGAACTGATATTTAGTCAGAGAAACTATTAAAGTCAAAACTTACTATAATGAGTCAATAAACTGTATGAGATAAAAATACTCTATAAATTAGACAATGAATCAAAATTATGAAACTTCATTAGAATCGAGTTAAAACATAAAATAATTCTGAGCTACTACGTCAATTTCATCAGATACAAAATTAACTAAGTCAAAATAATGAGATAAATAATGAGAGTATTGAGTCAGACTGGTTTGAATGAGTCAGGATTATGAGACAGAGATAGTTTAGTGAAATTCAAATCTGAGAATATCTGAGTTAAAAATATATTTTATCCCTTTAGACTTAAAACAGAAGGAAGAGTCAAAGTTAGTGAAAAAGGAAATAAGAAAAAAGTCTTTTAAATACGATAACCCCCCCCCCCCCCCCCCGCGGCGGGGGGGGGGGGGGGGNACTCTATAAATTAGACAATGAATCAAAATTATGAAACTTCATTAGAATCGAGTTAAAACATAAAATAATTCTGAGCTACTACGTCAATTTCATCAGATACAAAATTAACTAAGTCAAAATAATGAGATAAATAATGAGAGTATTGAGTCAGACTGGTTTGAATGAGTCAGGATTATGAGACAGAGATAGTTTAGTGAAATTCAAATCTGAGAATATCTGAGTTAAAAATATATTTTATCCCTTTAGACTTAAAACAGAAGGAAGAGTCAAAGTTAGTGAAAAAGGAAATAAGAAAACCCCCCCCCCCCCCCCCCCCGAGGTAGGGGGTAGGAGGGGTCAACCATGGCGACATTCCTGACCCCTCCGACCCGTCGATCACTCCGTCAGCGAGCTCTCTGATTGGCTGTCTGCAGGTGTTCACGTGAACCATGACTGGGTGCGAGAGAAAAACTTTCTACAGGTTTAGAAGGTGAAGGGAGAAACAGAGACCAGATCAGATCAGAGACCAGAGACCAGAGACCAGATCAGACCTGAGACTCAGATCGGAGCGATGAATGCAGACTGAAGCTGCTGCGGCTCAGAACCTCAGAGAACCAGGGAGAACCAGGGAGAACCAGGGAGAACCAGGGAGAACCCGTCCCTGGTCCTCAGCAGCAGGTAACCTACCTGAGCGCGTCCTGGGTTGATATTAGCAGTCGCGTGCAGCGGAGCACCTGAGAGAACTGCAGCTGGACACAGGTGAGACCGCGGCTTCACAGGTGTAGAGATGACTGAGAGCAGCGGACATATCATTGTGGTGGGGGGGGGGTGCACAGTGATACGTGGTTTTACAGCGGAAGGGGCTGAAGACCGGACACACTTCCGGCATGAGACCCCCAGATCAGACAGCGGGACTTCCTGTTTCCTCATTAACTTCCTCATAGAATAAAATCAGAACCGTGGACCAGGGGCAGGTCACGTGAGGTCGGTACAGGTGAAGTGAATCATGGTTTAGAGACAGACTGGGACTCATCTCTCTGTGGACATCACAGTTAACCTGTTGTTGTTTTTAAAGCTGATTGTGATTTTAAAGTTATTTTGGGACTTTTGTTCCTTTATTATAGAGAGAGGACAGTTGGGACTCGAACCTGGTCCACTGTGGTGAGGAGCGAGCCTTTGTGGTGCTCGTTCCACCAGGTGAACCACTGGGACGTCCCTGACTCTCTTAAAATGCTTTAAAATAAATAAAATACTGTAGAATAAATAAAATACTGTAAAATAAATGAAATACTGTAGAATAAATAAAATACTGTAGAATAAATAAAATACTGTAGAATAAATACGATACTTTAAAATAAATAAAATACAGTAAAATTAATAAAATACTGTAAAATAAATAAAATAAAGTAAAATAAAAAAGATACATAAAATTAATAACATATTGTAGAATAAATAAAATACTCTTGAATGAATCAAATACTGTAAAATAAATCAAATACTTTAAAATAAATAAAATAATTAAAAATAACTAAAATAAAGTAACATACTGTAAATAAAATACGGTAGAATAAATACTAAAGCGAGAAATAATAAAAAAAAACTTTCTGTTCTTTAAATAAAAGGATGTGATCATAATGAAGAAAATGTTCTTTAAATATGTAAAGTAGTCAAACAGAAAAACGTCCCTGTGACTGATTTTACGTGAATCATGAATTAATATTTTTTTTACTTAATTAACCAATTAATAGTTGAGTTTGTAAAAACAGAATATTCCTGTAACAGAGTTACTGACCGCTGATCTCAGGCTAATTACAGCTGCAACTAGTGATTGTTTTGATTATCAGTTTATTTCCTGATCATTTTCTTGATGAACTGTTTGACTATGAAACAGTGAAATCATTTAGAAGATACACAGGTAACCAGGGAGAACCAGGCAGAACCAGGGAGAATCAGGCAGAACCAGGCAGAACCAGGGAGAACCAGGCAGAACCAGGGAGAATCAGGCAGAACCAGGCAGAACCAGGGAGAACCAGGGGAACCCGTCCATGTCCTTCCCTCCACGGTCTGTGCTGCAGTGATTTTATTGTGTAAACTCTCTACTTCCTGTCTTTCAGTGCTCTGTATCCGTCCCCTCCGGAGACCACCATGCCGATTGACATGGCCTTACCTCTGTACCTGTCCACCGAGGACTTCGTCTACAGGACGCCTCCTAACAGCTGTTCACCTGCTCTGAGCTCCAGCCTCAGGTTCCAGCCGTCGCAGCGCGTTGAGCCGGCGCCGGACGTCGGACATTCCACCGCCAAAGACACCAGAAAAGCTAAAAAGCAGGTGACGTTTGCCGATCACAGAGGTCTGTCTCTAACCAGGGTGAAGGTCTTCTCCCCGTTCAACGACCCCATCGACATCCCGCTGAACGTCCGGGAGGCGCTGAGCTCTGCTGCGTCTCTGACGGTGGAGGAGGACAGGTTGGTGCTGGACTTCCCTCAGCCGTCCTCAGACTACCTGCTCTTCCGTCAGAGCCTGAACAGGAACCTGGTGTGCCTGGAGCACTGCGTGCTGAAGGACAAGGGTTTAGCGGGAACCGTCAAGGTCAGGAACGTGTCCTTTGAGAAGTCTGTGCGGCTGCGGGTGACCTTTGACACCTGGAAGAGCCACACGGATGTGGACTGCGTGTATGTGAAGGACACGTATCCCAGCTCGTACAGTGACACCTTCTCCTTCGAGGTGTCCCTGCCCGCGGAGCTGCCTCCTCACGAGCGCGTTGAGTTCGCCGTCTGTTACGAGGTGGGGGGGCGCCAGCACTGGGACAGCAACTGGGGCAACAACTACAGGGTGGTCTGGTCCTCCATGAGGAGCCACCGCACGAACTCCTTTGACTTTGGGATTCATTTCGACCGGTATGGCAGCCCCACCTGCTCGCACGGGATCTTCCCTGATTGGCCGAGCTACGCCGGGTACGAGGACATCGGCCCGTACTACTGACCCCCAGTTTTTAAACGTGTTCACGATGCTGCTGAAGGTCACGAGTTCGATTTGTCTGATGCTCATCGCACACCTGAACTCTTCAGGTCTCAGTCACATGTTGGTGGACGGGGCCCATGGGGTCACCTTTAACTGATAACTGATCAATTGATTAATCTATAGAATGTCAGGAAAATAATGTTAGATGAGTTTCCTGATCCAGGACCTGGTCTCCACAGTCCTCTCCGGTTGCTTTAGCATTAGCTTAGCTTCAGTTCTCAAAGAAAAGTTGTTGTTGTTGATGTGTTTGACACACACTGTTTCTCTGTACAATCACACATGAGTATGAGCTGGTTCAACATGAGGAGACAGAAGAAATCACAGACGACCAACAGTTAAAATCTTGTTTCCAGCTAAAACATAGAAACTAACTAATGAATGTTTTCGTTGTTGGTTCATTACTTGTTAAACTGTCTCCTCCCTGGACATCCCAGATGAAGACGAGGACAGTGTGTATGTTTCACCCAGGTCTTCTTCCTCAACATTCATCTGTTACTCAACCAACAAAGACTAATTATCATTGTCATTATTTACAGTAATAATCCTGACGAGCTGATTCGTGGCTGTAAACACTTCAGACTCACTTCAGGTTAATTCATGGACTTTAGATGATGGTGGTTGTTCTGACTGAGGCTGTGGATCAGTGGAGGAGGAGGAGGTGTAGTTATGATCAGGATCTGCTCCACCTCTGAAGACTCAGACAAACAGAGACCACATGTTGTTAAACAGTGTTTCCATTGACTTCCTGTCTTTTTTAAACTGTGTGTGTGTTCAGACCTCTGCTGTCAGAGCTTCAATGTTCTGTTGTGATGAATTTTAAAGAGTATTTTAAAATGCTGTTCAATAAAGTCGTATATATTCTAACTTACTGTATGTCAGTAACTTATTGTTCCACATTTACATGTTCGATCTTATCAAACAGATTCAGGAAAATTAATCATCTAATGAATCAAAAACTTTAAATTTAGGCTCAAGGTTTATTAGATTAAAGACACTGGACGAGTTGTCCTGTTGTTAGCATGTCCTGTTGTTAGCATGTCCTGTTGTTGGTGTGTCCTGTTGTTAGCATGTCCTGTTGTTAGCATGTCCTGTTATTAGCATGTCCTGGTGTTAGCATGTCCTGTTGTTAGCGTGTCCTGTTGTTAGCATGTCCTGTTGTTAGCATGTCCTGTTGTTAGCATGTCCTGGTGTTAGCATGTCCTGTTGTTAGCATGTCCTGGTGTTGGCATGTCCTGTTGTTAGTGTGTCCTGTTGTTGGTGTGTCCTGTTGTTAGCATGTCCTGTTCTTAGCGTGCCCTGGTGTTGCCGTGTCCTGTTGGCGTGTCCTCAGTGTGTTTGACCTCCATGTCACTGATGGTGTGACCCAGGGAATGTGGGACAGAGACAGGACGGTGTGTGGAGTTGACCTGGATATGAAGCGTCCTCCATACTGTTAGTGTTTGTTCTGCAGGTGAACCAGAGTCAGTTATGTAACACGACTGAACCAACACCTGATCTGTACAGACTGAGACACTGATCAGCTGTGGCTGCTTCACCTGATCAACCTGATCAATCTGATTTAAAACCAGAACTCACCTCAAGACTTATTTATATATATACTGTATATATATATATATATATATATATATATATGAAAATGTTAGAGGATGAACAGGTTACATAAACACACACACCAGTGACTGGAAGAGAGAAAAATTGTGTTTGCAGATAAAGAATTGAACATGATGTCTCATTGTCTTCTAGTTTGTTTTCTTTCTGTTCAATAAAATAAAAGACCTTCTATGATTACTGTTCTATTATTCTCACCACAACTCCCCCGTGCTGTTGAAGCTGCAGTTCCCCCTCTTGGCCACTAGATGGAGGCAGAGTGTTTCTTCTGTTGTAGAATAACATGAAACCACCTCTCTGAGCACTAACAGGTTATTTTAGGACTTTACCAACTAAATAATGTGAATACAGTTTGTTCAGTATTTTTTATTTTCATATATTTAAACACATGAAGTTTCTCTGACGCCATATAAAGTTATATGTGTATATTTAATATATCTATTATTTTTATTAGGCTATTTTTCATATACGCTCTTTAATATTACAGTTGACAGTCTGGAAAGTTTTGAATGTGTTTTCTACATTTCCTCTTTGGGGATTTGAAGCAGCTTGAACCATGTGAGGAGGATCACTTTCCCTCCTCCCTCCACTCAGCAGGAAGGAGGAGAAAGGAGGAGGAGTGTCCAGAGATCTGACGCAGTGGAGCCGCCGCCTCACTTCCACTCCCCGCTGCCAGGAAGAGCCACAGCGGCTCGGAAAGCCCAGAGACAACCGCACGGATAAACCCGGGGAGAGCGGTACAGAGGACGGGGTCTGGAGGCGATGAGGACGCCCGGGACGGACGGAGTGGCCCCGCGACACCGGAGCTCGGATTTGGGCTTGAACCCGGAGCTGTAGCCGCGGCGGTCTGTTCTCATTGTGTGCTGAGTGGCGCAGGAGAAAAGGATGCCTCCGCGGCCACACACGCTCCTCCTGCTCCCGTCGAAAAGCTCGATTATTTCCCGACTCGGACCGGCCTTTGTCCCCTCTCTGACGGGGGGGTTGTTGTTGAGGAGCGCGCTGATTTCTGAAGGAGCCCGTCTTCCATGCGGCCCGCTCAGGAACCATGAAAACTCTCAATGAAAACAAGGAGGAGGAGGAGGAGGTGGAGGTGGGGTCCGGCTGCAACGCCATGGAGGACAAGGAGAACAATCTGAAAACGGCCAGGTTGTGGAGGGATGCCGCCCTCCGCTCCAGGAAGCTGCGGAGCAACCTGCGCCAGCTCACCCTCTGCTCCAAGAACAACCAGATCACCCTGCCCGAGGACATAGCCGAGATAGAGGTGCTCAACCTGGGCAACAACTCCCTGCAGGAGCTGCCCGACGGGCTGGGATCCACCCTCAACAACCTGCGCATCCTCGTCCTCCGCAGGAACAAGTTCACGGCTGTGCCCCGGGTGGTGTTCGAGCTGGGGCAGCTGGTGGAGCTCGACATGAGCCACAACTGCCTGAGGAGCCTGTCTGAGGGCGTGGGGCAGCTGAGGGGGCTGAAGAAGCTGTGCCTCAGTCACAACAAGATCCAGAACCTGCCGGCTCAGATCGGGGCGCTCCAGTTTCTGGAGGAACTGGACATCAGCTTCAACGACCTGCACGGTCTGCCCAGGTCCTTCTGCGGCCTCGCCAGGCTGCGAACTCTGGACGCAGACCACAACAAGCTGAACCAGTTCCCCCCTGAGATCCTGGCCCTCGGTGAGCTGGAGGAGCTGGACTGCTCCGGGAACAAGTTCGAGGCGTTACCGGCAGACATCAAGAAGCTGCAGTCCATCAAAATCCTGTGGCTCAGCAGTCTCCACATGTCCGCCTTACCTGACGCCTTCTGTCACCTGCACAACCTGGAGAGCGTGATGCTGGACGGGAACAACCTCACAGCGCTGCCGCCTTTGTTTGGAAATCTGCAAAGACTCAAAATGATCAACCTGTCCTCTAACGAGTTTGAGAACTTCCCCCAGGTGATTTTAAGCATCATGGGGTTAGAGGAACTTTACCTGAGCAGGAACAAACTGACTCATATTCCTGAGGAAATAGGTCACCTGGAGAAGCTGGTGAACCTTTGGCTGGACAACAACAACATCACGTACCTGCCCGACTCCATCGTGGACCTGGAGAAGCTGGAGGAACTCGTTCTACAGGGAAACCAAATAGCCATACTGCCGGATCATTTTGGAAAGCTGTCGAAAGTGAACATATGGAAGGTGAAAGACAACCCCCTCATCCAGCCTCCGTACGAGGTGTGCATGAAGGGGATTCCCTACATTGCGGCCTATCAGAAGGAGCTCGCGCACTCCCAGCTCGCCGTGAAGCCGCGACTCAAACTGGTCCTGATGGGAGCGAAAAACACCGGGAAAACGTGGCTGAGGCGGAGCATGGTGAGCAGGCCGCAGGACGCCACAGGAAACCAGGGAAACAAAGGGATTGAAGTCACCAACTGGGTGGCGGACGCCGATCGCTGTCTCACATTTCTGGTGTATGACCTGTCAGGGAAACAAAACTATGACCTCATCAAACCCTTTTTCCTCTCCCCCGGTGCTCTCTACGTCCTCGTGGTCAATCTCAAGACATATTCGCCCAAGAACTTTTACACCCATGTTGGATATTTCCTCCACCTCCTCAGTGCCAAAGTTCCCCACGCTGTTGTGTGCTTGGTGGGCACGCATGCAGACCTGTGTGGAGAGGTGGAGGTGGAGGAGAAGACTCTGGACATCCACAGACAGATCGGTCTCCAGGAGAAGAGGGACACCCAGAGCCTGAGGAGCCTGGCTCTGCAGGTGGACCAGGCGCTGGAGCAGGGCTACAACGTCCGCTCCTCCAGCCCCCACGTCCTCTTCTACGGCGTCTCGGACAGGAACCTGCGGCGGAGGAAAGCCCAGCTGCAGTACATGCTGAACCACCGGCTGCAGATCCTGTCTCCTGTCCTGAGCGTCAGCTGCACGGAGACGCAGACGAACGTCCAGAGGCTGAGGGAGAAGCTCATGTCTGTCGCAGACCACCGGGAGATCTTCCCCAACCTCCACCGCGTGCTGCCGAAGTCCTGGCAGATGCTGGAGGAGCTGCACTTTAAGCCCAAAGACTTGTGGCTCTCGTGGTGGGACTCGGCCCGTCTGGGCCTCCAGGCCGGACTGACCGAGGACCGGCTGCAGAGCGCCTTGTCCTACCTGCACGAGAGCGGGAAGCTGCTGTACTTCGAGGACAGTCTCACTCTGAAGGAGTACGTGTTTCACAATCTTCCACGGTTCATTGCAATTCTCAACGTCTTCTTCCAGAGGGACGAGTCCACGCTGCTGGACCGGCTCCTGTCTGAGGGGGAGAGGGGGGACAAGGGGAGGGTGAGTCTGGTCATAGAGGACGAGAAGGGAGAGAACCTCAGGGTGACCCACCTGCAGCACCACGTGGAGGGCTTCCTCCAGCACGGCCTTCTGCCCTCCAACGTGATCCGCCTGCTCCTCAGACCGCTGATCCAGACGCAGCAGGACCTGCACCTCATCATGGAGCTGCTGGAGAAGATGGGCGTCTGCTACTGCATCAACAAGCCACGCAGCAAGCCTCTGAACGGAGCCACAGCCTGGTACAAGTTCCCCAGCTACGTCAGCAGTGAGGAGCCCCGGGCGGAGGCGGAGGCCGGCGGGGGCAGCGGCAGCGGCGGTGGCGGCTCTTTGCCTCACTGTCACTTCTTCTCCGTGGAGCAGCTGCACATCCAGTATAGCTTCCCCTTCCTGTTTCCTCCCGGACTTTTCGCTCGCTTCAGCGTGCAGATCAACAGCCACGTGGTGCAGAGGTCGGACGGCCGGCACCAGATCTTCGCCTACAGAGGTAAAGTCCCCGTGGTGATCAGCCACCGGCCCGCCAGAGGGAAGCTGCAGACAGAGACTCTGTCCATCGCCAGCCACGCCTCACTGCCCAACATCTGGACGGCATGGCAGGCCATCACGCCGCTGGTGGAGGAGCTGAACGTGCTGCTGCAGGAGTGGCCCGGCCTGCACTACTCTGTACATATCCTCTGTTCCAAGTGCCTGAAGAGAGGCTCATCCAGCCCACACGCCTTCCCAGGTAAGACCCCTCCACACACCCGTCTCCTGTTTATACAGCTCATCACCATGGTTACCAAGAACACAACCCAGCAATATCATCATCTGATTTACACTTGGTGGATACAATAAGTCTTACAAGAGAAACTAATGTAAACCATCAGTGCTGCGACTTTTCATTCTCACAGTCACACAGAACAAAGCAAAGATAAAATAATAAAACACTAAAAGAGATGAGAAGTGAGAAAACCAGAAATAAAAGTAGAGACAAAATAAATAAAGAAATAAAAGAAGAGTGTTAAAAGGAAAACAAATCATAGAATAAAAGGACAAACCAGTAAAATGACTTAAAATATATAAAGATAAATAAAGAAAATTCAATTAAAAGCCAGACTAAAAGTTCATGATTGTATTATTTTATCCCATAGACTCAACAGTTGAACCAAGACAGTGTAATGCTGCTGCTACACAACAACCTGTCACTGAACCAATCACAGAGAAGAGGCCTTTATTGTTTCTGACTCAAACTCACCAAAACTACTGAATCTCTGAACTCTCTCTTTAACCAGCAACCTGCTTTTAATAACTAATGCGATAACTGGTAATATGTTTTCCTTCCATCCACTGACCCCCCCCCCCCCCACACACACACACACACACACACACACACACACTCTCTGGAAACCTCTGAGTTAGTCTTTAATGTGATCAGCTGGTGGTCACTGTTCACTACCTATAGATATATATCTATATAGATATATACAGTATATCTTTACGAGGATGGTGATGGTGATGATGATGATGG